TCTAAGATCATTTAAAAAAAGAAATATAAAAAGATAATACGTTGAGTAACAGTGACTCTGCAACATACCAATAAGGTAACCTCGTTATTAATTTTTTAACCATGCACTAATGAAATTAATTAATAATCAGTGTCCATGTACATATATTCGCTACGGTCTATAAAATGCTCATAAGAACGTATTTCATTTCCTATTGAATTGGGGAACAAATTTATTTTCACAATCTCTCTTCGTCACTCTCTACGGATCTCCATTGGAGAAAAGCTTGAGAATCTTCAATGGCATCCATGGCTACTATCCTCAGCAAAACTTCTTTCCTATCTCAGCCACTCGCCAAATCTCCCAATTCCGATTTCCCCTTCGCAGCCGCAACATCTTCCGTTTCTTTCCCATCGAAGTCGCGTAGCCTTCGCCGAGGAATCCGAGCTGGTCTGATCGAGCCTGACGGCGGAAAGCTTGTGGAGCTTATCGTGGAGGAGCCACGACGGAGAGAGAAGAAGCACGAAGCGGCGGAGCTGCCGCGCGTAGAGCTGACGGCGATTGATTTGCAATGGATGCACGTCTTGAGCGAAGGCTGGGCAAGTCCACTCGGAGGTTTCATGAGAGAATCCGAGTTCCTCCAAACTCTTCATTTCAACTCGCTACGTCTTGACGACGGCTCCGTCGTCAATATGTCGGTGCCTATCGTCCTCGCTATAGACGACGAGCAAAAGGCCAAAATCGGCGAGTCTAAACGCGTCGCACTTGTTGATTCCGATGGTAATCCCGTCGCTATCCTCAGCGAGTAAGTCTCTTCGCCACCACAAATTGATCCTTCACTCACCAAATTGTTTAGATCGATTTCCTTGATTTATGGGGAAGAACTTGATTTGAACTGATCTATTACTAGTCAGTGATATTGATTCATGATTGAACAAGGTTAGATCTGGTTAGGTTATACAGTTCTTTTGTCAATAGATACAACGAAGATTGATACAAGCTTTGTTTGGGTTTTCTTGTTCTGAGATTAGTCAATGATATAATCCGTTCCTGAAACCTGTTTGTGTTTGATCAGCATTGAGATTTACAAGCATCCCAAAGAAGAACGGATAGCTAGAACTTGGGGTACTACTGCTCCAGGTTTGCCTTATGTAGAAGAGGCGATAACCAACGCAGGAAACTGGCTGATTGGGGGTGATCTTGAGGTTCTAGAGCCAGTCAAGTACAACGACGGGCTTGACCGTTTCAGGCTTTCGCCTGCTGAGCTCCGAAAAGAGCTAGAGAAGCGTGGCGCGGATGCTGTCTTTGCTTTCCAGCTCAGGAACCCGGTCCACAACGGTCACGCACTTCTTATGACTGATACTCGTAGGAGGCTTCTTGAGATGGGATACAAAAACCCTATCCTTTTGCTTCATCCATTAGGTGGGTACACAAAGGCTGATGATGTTCCTCTAAGTTGGAGGATGAAGCAACACGAGAAGGTAAAAAAGACTTATTGGTTATGCGTCTCTGAGTGAGAGAAACGACATTTGCTGTTTTCTTGAAATACTAAATGGGTTTTATGAATCTAAACAGGTGCTAGAGGACGGTGTTCTTGATCCAGAGACTACAGTGGTTTCGATATTCCCTTCTCCTATGCATTACGCTGGTCCTACCGAAGTGCAATGGCATGCAAAGGCCAGAATCAATGCAGGTGCTAACTTCTATATTGTGGGTCGTGATCCAGCTGGGATGGGTCATCCCGTAGAGAAACGTGACCTTTACGATGCTGATCATGGAAAGAAAGTACTAAGCATGGCACCTGGACTCGAACGACTAAACATCCTTCCTTTCAGGGTATACAAAAACCCAAATCAAAAGATTCACACTTTTCGTTTAGCAATGTTGAAATCTGATTTCTTGGTTTAACCCATAGGTTGCTGCATATGACAAGACACAAGGCAAGATGGCATTCTTCGATCCCTCAAGACCTCAAGATTTCTTGTTCATCTCTGGCACTAAGGTAATTCACTAGTTCCCAAAGACAAATCCTACATTGTTAAACACTTCATGGTCTTCTCATAAACATCTCTGTGTTTTTTTTTCCGTTTTAGATGCGCACATTGGCCAAGAATAAAGAAAGCCCTCCGGACGGATTCATGTGCCCAGGTGGATGGAAAGTTCTAGTTGATTACTACGACAGCTTAACTCCGGCAGGTAACGGTAGACTACCGGAAGTGGTTCCGGCTTAAGACAAAACAAAAGAAACTGTGTCTGCTTGGTTTCAAATTGTACCGTTTGTGACTTTGTGTTGTGAGCCTTGTTGCAACAGTGATTTTTGTATAGGAGAAGCCTATATATAAATCTGGCTGGACCTTTTTTCCAAAATAAATACAGAAAGTCTGTTTCTTCCTTTACGAAAATCTGTAATATTTGATCCAACCACCGTCCGGTGAAACTTGTACCATATGAAACGATTGTGTTTACTGGTTTATACGAAAACAATTTGCTTTTTCTGTACAACTTTTCATAATTCTCATGTGCGTATTGCGTAGTATCTTTCATTTTAACTTCATAAAATTAGTAGACGAATTTTCTATGGCCCAATGGGCCTTTGATCAGCCCATTACTTTGGAAGCTAACCAAAGAAGAGGTCTCGTGAGAGACAATTTACGACGGCGGTTTTTCTTCTCCGACAGTTCTCCATCTCAAAAGCGGAAATCCGTGACTGTTGCCGGAGTTGTTCCATTACAGCTTCTAGTTTTGTCTTTCGGTAAAGTAAAGGTATAATTTCTTAAATCTTGATGATTTTTTTATTCTTGGCCAATTTCTCAGTTAGACCCAGTCCAGGGTTTGCGAATTGATATGCTACGTTTCGTAATACAAATTTGAAGAAAAATGATGGTTTGATGCGGCATGCAAAGTCGCAAAAGTTTGTGATTCTTTGTTTATTTTTACTGTTGATGGCTTATTCGTTCAGTTTCACTTGAATGGTTACATGTATGCTAACTGTTCGTTTAAATGTCTGAAAGAAAACCTCAAGTTGATCATTTTGGTAAAATAAATTATGTAAACAATGAGTTTTCTGTATACAAGTATGGTAGAGAGGTAGTAGCTTGCTTGTGTACAATTCATAATCTTGAATCAGTAGTTTTGACTCAGATTCTCTAAGAAATAAACAACCTTGACATGCTGCTGATTTCGCTTTCTTAATTGCTCAATTAGCTCTTATTTTTCCCTTCCTAGCCAATGTGATAAGAGTATTGCAAAAACGCTTGTTGTGATTTGTATCTGAATGTTTCACATTGTCAGGCTGGAAAAAATGTTTATCAAAGTCAAATTGCCAGGGAGTGTCACGATTCCGGCTGAAGATATGGACAAAGGCCTCATTCTCCAGAGAGCTATTCTCATTCGCCTACTAAATGCCTTTGCTTCCAAGAAAGCAACCAACGATCTCGGCTACTTCATAGCACTCACAACTCTAGAGGAAATCGGCGAGGGGAAAATCAGGGAACACACGGGCGAAATTCTCTTCCCAGTTGTTTTCAGTGGAATCACGTTCAAGCTCTTCAGAGGAGAGATTACTCGCGGTGTGGTGCACAAGGTGTTCAAGTCCGGTGTCTTATTGAGATGTGGCCCTTGTGAAAACATTTACCTATCCAACTTGAAGATGACCGGTTACAAGTACATTCCTGGAGAGAGCCCGATCTTTGTGAATGAGAACATGTCTCGGATTCAGATCGATTCCACAGTTCGTTTCATTGTGATAGCTACCGAGTGGAAAGAGGCAGAGAGAGAGTTCTTTGCTTTGGCTAGCATTGAAGGAGATTATCTTGGCCCAGTCTAAAGGCTTCTTTAGGACTTAATTAAGCATCTGT